CATTGATCAAACGCAACCAATGCTACATCTGGGAGCTTTTCAATCAGTTTCTTGATGGGCTCTTCGCCGTCACTGCCGATATGAGAAAGAGAAAGGCGCCAACTACAGACAGAATCATAATCGAAATTTGGCTAGAATCAGAACGATAGAAAAACGGGGAACCCCAGAGTTCTCCCTACGAACGTAAAATGCTGACGTATTTTTCATGTGGTGTGGGTGCAATATGTGTCCTCGAGAAAAAATTGTGAAACCATTGATAAATTCTAAATATAACTTAGAAGCAAATTGCCGCTGCGATCGTGTCCACTTATACAAATACCATGGTTACAGTGGAACAGTAAACACGATGGTGGGAGAGAATAGAACAAAAATAAGTCTCGTGACTCTCTCGCTTCCAACGAGATTTCGGCGGCCATTTGCGTCCAAGGTCTATTTATTCAACCTTTTGTGTTGAAGTATTTCTGCGGAAGTGCCAGCTTGAAGGTTCTCAATAGCTAGTTCGAGTGGCGTTTGTCCCGTTTCGTTTTCAAGCGTGACGTCAGCACATTTGTTGAGAAGTAATGATGTCACGTCAATGTGACCACTGGCGGCGCTGTGGTGCAGTGGTGTATTCTGTAGAGAAATTTGAGAAAGGTTTCAGAATATGTGGTCGAACATTTGTAATCATGTAGGTTGATTATTTACGCGGTCTTACAGTGTTTTCCTGGAACACCTGACATGCATTAATTGTATTAATCGTCGACAACGACCATTATAAAAGAGGAATTCGGTAATAAACCAAGGCACGTGAGTATAACAACTACCGCATACTGCAGTCTGTGTGTATGTCATTTCGAATAGTCAAAGTACAGGATAGATTGCTAATTATATGACAGTTTTGTGCATGTCGATAAATAAGTCCAAGTTCAAAGCAAGTGACTCAACTAACCTTGTTTTTATCCATACTATCAATATCTGCGTGGTTCTTCAACAACGTTAAAACAGCATCCACGTGGCCAGAATAGGCAGCCAATGAGAGAGCAGACATTCGACTGTCGTCTCTGTTAGAAATAAAGAAAATTCGGTAAATATAATTAAAAAAACACAATCAATTTCAACGATTGTATTCTCTCTCAAACTAGAACTGGCGTGCCTGCTGCTGATGTCAGCTCCCACTTTCAACAAATACGACACAACCTTCTCGTTTCCATAGAAACTGGCCAGCAACAGTGGCGTGTAACCATCGCCATCGTCTTCGTTTAGTTGCGTGGGACTCGCTTCCACCAATGAACGTACACAGTTCACGTGTCCGTATCTACAAAAATGAGAGAAAAGAAAAGTATTGTTCCGGTAAACCACATTCTTGCGATTGTCGAACAGATCAAATCTGAGAGATGAAAATAAACAAGATGGCGTACTGTGAGGCAATGTGAAGCGCTGTTCTATCTTCACGGTCTTTGGAATCCAGTGATGCACCATGGGAAATTAGAAATTTCAATATCTGAATGCAAGAAAACATATAAGAAAGGACATATATTGAAGATTGTCGACATCAACACAAAAGTAACCTAAAACATACGCGGGGTTCCGTCGCTATACACCCACTCCATTTAAAAGCTGATTCATACGACCTTAATTTTATGAAAAGAGCCTCATCAGAAAAAATCGAACTGTGTGAACTCGGCTTGACAAATATCGTCATCCATCTGAAGAGAAGGATTTAACAGATCAGTTCAAAGTGAGCAGGCTTTTATGGTGCCGTCATATGTTTATTAAATATTTCAAGGCATCAGATTTTGCTGATCAAAAATTAGATTTTGTCTTATAAGGCCAAAAAAAATGTTTTTTTGCTCTCAGCGACCGACCGAAAAATATGAAATATCGGATCGCGACTTTGAACCTCGGGTTCATCTGTATTTCTCTGGAAAAAAATCCGACCGACCGACCCAATTTTTTAATTTTCCGACTTGAGGGCAACATAAGTTTTTTTTTGGTCTAAGGTCAATCAATTTTACGTGACCCAACGCCTATTCGCTCAGGTCTTTCTCTGGACGATTGGTGCAGTGCTATCTCGAGATATCACCGCCCGCTATCGAAATATAACGTTCTAACGTGTCAGTACTAAGGAAATCAATACTCCAGTAGAAGCCCCTAGTTAGGTTTGGTTTCCAAATTCGCAACTCTAAGCTCAAACACTTTACCAGAAGGGAAACACTTTACCAGATTATTGCCAAGTTTTGCAGCATAGTGAAGAGCTGACTGATCGTGTACGTCTTTCCTATTCAAAAGAATCCCACCGCCAGTCTCCATCATCAGTTTTATGTATCCATGGAAGCTCCCCTCAACAGACCAATGGAGACAACTTTTCTTCAGGTGGTCCGTCGCAGTAATATCGGCACCAGCTTTCAACAAGCAGAGTCCAGCGTCGCATTGCCCTTTCCATGCCGATGCCATCAATGGCGTGAAATGTTCAAAATCTCTTGCTTCGATATCAGCGCCAGAATGAACCAATAAATTAATGACATCAGAACGGTTGTACAGGGCAGCCCTGATATAAAAAGAAGAACGTTTATATGAATACTGATAACTTCTATTATTATACATCTGTCACCGTAACACCATACGTTACAGCGTGCCGTAATTTTGCGGTATTTTACGGGGTATTTTCATCCTACCATATTAGGAAATGCGAATTCCAAATATGGAATGATTACACGCATGAGCGTCCTATAATAATAAAAACAAACATAGCTGCCACCAGAGTTTGACCGGACTTCACACAAAGAAGTTCGCTGATTCTGTTCTAAACTTTTTGGATTTGGCATTCCCATGGTGTTTCCTTGAAAGGGAAAGATGTATAATAATAAGATTATTACGAGAATACCTCAAAGTATACATTCAGACAGTACGCCGCGCATCGACCTCTGTTGCGCGTCGGTCGATAGTCCAGTTGTACTGTCCTCGTGCATACTTTGAGGTATCCTCGTAATAACCTCATATTACTCACTCACTCACTTTGATTTCAGGCGGGTGTGCTCCGCAGACAGTTGAAAAGCGGCCGTGAAAATAGGGGTCAAAACAACGGCCCATACCTAACTATGGGAGTATTCCCCGCGGGTGTCGTGTTACAAACCCCTTGTAGGAGTTGAGCTCAGTTTTCCAACAACTAGATCACGTGCCGCTGCCGTCTTACCTATGCAGTGGCGTCATCTGTTCGTCGTCTTTGGCGTTCACTGTAGCGCCTCTTTTCACCAATAATTTAGCCACATCAAGATAACCATTGACGGCTGATATGTGAAGTGCTGTGAATAGATTACCTTTTCTCATATCCACCTCAGCACCGTAATCCAGACAAAGCCTAACAGCCTGCAAAGACGGACAATATTGTTTGCGGAAATATTAAAGCGGGTGAGTCGTCACCTGCGCATGCGTCAGATGGCGATAGCGTGTCATTGTTTACAAACAAGCTTCTACCCATGAGTCTTTGCGTTTTTAGCGTGTGTTGTTATCGTCACTTGGGACTCAATTCCCGCGCGTGCGCAGGTGACGACCCTCCCGCTTTAACAACTTCATCACATAATCTTATGGTATATGGCAAATTCTAAATTGTGATTCATCAGTTGATTCACTGACTAATTGATTGAATGACACCGACTGGCCGATTGATTGATTGATTTATTCATTCACTTATTGATTGATATGTTGATATATTGATTGGCTGATCGATCAATCGATAATTGATTGATATGTTGACAAAACCATAGGAATGGTAATTTATTATAACACACCTCCAAGTGACCATTTCCGACGGCAACGTGAAAGACGGAGTTACCCTCGTCATCGGAGTCGCCTATCAGTTCTTTGGGATGATAACCCACCCCTATAGCTGAAATTGAGTATAAAATATCGAGTTAAGAAAAGCTTAATTAGAACAACTACTATTTCAACCATATAATTCAACAGCAACAGATAAGTATTACCTTCCCAGCGACCATGACGAATTTATTTTATTCTTTCATATCATACCTTTTTCCACAATTAGTGCCATGACATCGGTATGACCTCCACTAGCGGCATGTATGAGCGGAGTAGTGTGGTTAATTTCTTTCGCTCGTAGTAATCCGCCGTGATCAATCTGTAAATAAAAAACGATGTATGCAATCCACAATCATTCATGTTTTACTACCAGTCATTTTGATATACATATATTTATAAAACGTTTATAACATCTTCGCCTTATGCCTTTCGCTGTATAATTAATTATTTCTAGCCCGACAAGGTCGCGTGAGTTGCGCCCTCTGCGTTACTTCAAAACCAACAACAAGTAGGGTCTGATGTCAGGCTAAATTATTTTTAAAAATTCATAAGTATTTTGAAAACCGAGGCACTATCAACACAACAAACGCATTCCATTCATTTTGATAAATATTTTTTGATTTCAATAACAGTTGAATCTAACCAGCCAATGAATGGTCATAGTACATCGTTATTCAATCGAAGAATAGATTCAGTTTCAATTGTGAGATTTATAAAATATAAAAAAATGGTATGTTGTATCAATAGTGTATGTGGACACATCCAAATATCATGTTTGTAACATCATTTATATAATTTGTATAATGTCACATATTCTGTTAGCTAATATTATTCACTTTTTCCTTGTATCTATGCTTTCAGAATATGTATAGCCCTTCTCACGATTATGACGAGATATTGGTATAGAAACCATACTAATAGAAATGGCGCAATTATAGAACGCGGCACAGCGCGTGAAAAGAGATCAAACGAAGGTGATAAAGACAGTTTCGACCCCAAGTGCGTTAACGTTGCTGTGATTTTCGGTGTTTTTTTTTTGTGAATCTCAATGAAGTGTATTGCCTGAATAAATGAGAAATCATTTCAACGCCACAACCATTATAAAGACGTCTGCCACCATTTTAGTTTGTGTCCGAATCGAATCACATGACCGAATACTGGGTAACGTCATTTGGTAAATACACGCCTTTGCTTTGCCATGAGTACAAGCAGAGTAGTAGACAGAGACTGATTCGTTCTTCTGCACGCGCTCGAACTTCGTGTGAATACACAATTTATTTTACACGCGTTGTATACGTAACACGGGACTCACATCGTACACGACGCGGCAAGATTTCCCTGATTGTTTCATTGCACGAATCAAATGCTATTTTAAAACCAGTAAAAAGAATCTGTCGTACCAATATTTTGCAAATCGTCAGTTTTCCTTGGCTTGCCGCTTGGTGTAATGGGGTTGAGAAGTCTTCGTCGCGGACATTGGGGTCGGCACCTTTGCACTGCAACAACACCTCTGTGACATTGACATTACCCTTCCTGGCAGCCAAGTGCAGAGGGGTTGCTCCTTTGCTGTCTCTACTGTGGATATTCGCACCATGTCCAACTAAAAACTTTGTCAGATATTCGTTATTTCCCTTAGCAGCGATATGTAGCGGTGTGACCGAATACTCTTCCATAATGACGTCAATATCTGCAATGTACCAGATAATTTAAAAAAGTCGTCTGCGAAAAATGTTGATTCGCTACTGAAATAACTCGGTGAGGGCACAGTACCTAAAATCGACTGTCAGATGGCAAAAATGGCGACGTCAATAATTATTGATAGATGCGTAATCATTATTAGTGTATTATTATTAGAAATATTCAAAATTGTAAACGACTAAACGCGCCTGGCAAGTCTTGAGAAGTCTTTCTAACTTAACTCAGTTTAAAATTTCATTCAAATTTTATTTATTTTTCCCACGCAATTAACAATCTTCGATTCATGTTTGGATATGGCATTATTACTCACATCAAATAAAATGGGCGAATTACGCCGTATAGTTTGTGGGGGATCTCGAGACTTTAAATGTACCAGGTTTCTTTGTGTTATACACTTATCAAAACGAAAGACAAAGCAAAACAGTTCTAAGTTGAGAAAGTGCGCCATTGTCCAAACACGGGGACGTAATTGCTCTAAAATTAGTCGATGACGCCATCTTATTATGTAATCAATTATATTATAACATATACTAGTAATTCACATATATATAACATATATATATATATAATATATAGATATGCAGGGTGTGATATTGTGCTTCCATATGAATGGATTTACCACCAAAACTTATCTACAAAATAAAATAAACATGGTTAAGTGTTATCGTGTAAATGGTGGTACTTGATCTACAATTTAGAATCAAGGCCAAAAATTGGTATATTTTTTTTGCAAATACGTGTTGCCGAAATAAGATTGTTGAATTGATTTCTGGTGGCAAGCAATTCCTTAAGAATGCTATTTCCGAGTACAACCACCCCACCTTCATGTGCAGGGGTATTTGGATTTATGTGAGTGGATATTTGTGGTGTTTCAGCAATTTGCAAAGTGAATATCAAAACTTTACCTGCACCGCGAAGTAAAAGTTCTTGCACCATTCTAACCTGGTTGCAGTGGACAGCGTAATGTAACGCTGACATGCCATATTCATCCGTCTCATTCAGACACTCTCCTCGACGGTCTAATATTGAATCCAGGTGCTGGACCCTACCAAGTTTTGCAGCCTGTATGGTATTTAAAAAGCATATATTCTAGCACATTAGAATTTAAAATTATATAATATGTTTATTGGGGAAATTCGAGGTTTTCTGAAAAAAGGTTTGGCCAATTAATTTAATCTGTCTTGGCATTAGTATTATGATATGATAATGGATTAGGTAAATGTACTATATATGGTGTGCTATTAGGACCATAATTTAAAAACGCAAATAAATAAATCGAAGAATAAATCAAAAATAGAACAATAAATACAAGAATAGATCAAAGAATTGAACAATGAATTGAAAATATAGTAGAATGAATAAAGGGAATAAAATTGAAAATAAAAAAAGGTAATGCTTTGTCGTGTCAACTTTGAAGGCTGAAAATGTCATAATAAGTACCCACTACATGTTATTTGTTTTAGAAGATACTTTGGCCATACATGCAAAATAGCAAGTTGGTCGGTTAAAACATTCATGGGAAAAAATGTCCTAAATTGTGTGTGTTTTTTTGCAAAAATCCCAAATGCCGGCCAAAGTGTTTTTTGTTTTTTTTAAGTGTCTTTCTGGGGAAAAAACATGGCGCAAATGTCACGTGATTGCTAACATTTGTTATAGTTAAATAGGTAGCTCATATAATTAATAATGCTACTACAAAAAATTAATATGTCGAGACCCTCAGAAGGGGGTCAAAATGACCACTTCCATCTTGATAATAAGATCAATTCAGTTAGGGATGAATTATCTGGCATTTCAACTTGCAAAGTACTAGTACTAAGATGTGGTTGCTTGCCTAACTTATTTTTAAAATAATGTGCGTGCGAGCTTGCCGTTCCACTTACTATTTTGTATACACGCCCAATTAACGAAGATATATTTCCTAATTTTACCGGTAGATCTTGTAACAGCCTGACCAACATGCAATTTGGGCCTGACAAGTTCGCGTGAGTTGATATAATTTACATCGATTTCCCTGAAATGTTTTTTTCCATTGAGTTATTGCTACATAAGCTAACTGTTTTGGTGTAGGTGGTAATTTCAATAAATGGCTGACGTCATAACCCTATTACCGGCACAATAAGGTGGTTTATAAAGAATTTATGTTCTGAGTGGGCAGATGTACATTCTGGCGTACCCCATGTATCTTACGTTGGTCATTTTTTTTTATTTATGACACTTGTGATAATCTTAATTCTGACGGTTTGTTGTTTGCTGATGGTATGGAAATTTATAATCATTAAGTTTGTTTAAGACTCTTTGACAGTCAGATATTGATGTTATTTTTAGCTTGTCTACTAACATTTACGTGTCAATCGTAGTAAATGTAAAGTCGTATCGATTACATTAAAAACAAATACATTATACATTTTTGCTCATTATTTACAAACCGTCAGTAGCATGAGTGGTCATCATGCTGTTATCATTGACCAAAAAATGATTTTTTGTGATTATGTGAGAAATACTGTTCAGTGAGATAGAAAAGCCTTGAAATTCATTATATCTGTTCGTACCAAATTAGAAAGAACTTAATTATTATACTTGACATTGGTGCGATCAAAACGTGAATACGATTTGGAATGGCGTTAGTCAGCATCAAACCAGAAGTGTAGAAAAGGTACAACATAATTTTTTTAACAAACGTCATACATTTTTTCACAAATTATATAATCTGCACACTTAAAAAATAAAAATAATACTTTCTGATATAGATCCACAATGTGAATGTGTCTTGGTTTTGAGAAATCCAATGCTTTGCCTTAATGAGCCACCAAAAGTGGTAACTAGTAATGAATTACTGAAGCTGGAAAACACTTTTCTGTAATCGTTTACAAAACAGGTTCTAAAAACATTCGGGATACATTTGCATGGTGTTCACTCAGTTTATCCTGTAAATTCCAGTCGAAAATACTGCAGTGTTTTCTGTCATATTTAAAGCGGGGGAGTCGTCGCCTGCGCATGCGTCAGATGGCCATAGAGTGTCATTGTTTACAAACAAGCGTCTACCCATGAGCCTTTGCGTTTTTAGCGTGTGTTGTTATCATCGCTCGAACTCCACACAGCTTTGCATATGACTCATTTGTATATTCGAATATGATCGAACTACAAGACCCTGTCGGGTAACAAAGTTATGAGTAAGTTACTCGGTTACTTAAGGTAGCGGGACTATGAACGACTACTACGTAGCCACCTATGGTCGTCACGGTTGCAGTGAGTGTAGTGTAATAATAGTATGATTGTTTCCCCCATAAGCACGGTATGAGTCTACACATTAAATTTGATCATTTACACACTCTGGTCTCTACCCTCGCGCTAATGGTACAATTTAGTATATTTTTCAGAGTAAATGCGACTATAGCTTCACGACAGAGTTCATTTTCAATTAGTTTGTTTTCGGCCTCCCCGTTTCTCCTTTTACTGCTTCACTTATACCATTTTCTAACGTACGTAATGGTTCCAAAATTAGTTTACACTAGTACTGTTCCTAGAAAACACGAATTTATCAGGGTGCTCTATTCTATTGCATATGCGGGTTCAATTAGCGAACAATATTCTCTCTCAAGCTGATTCACCTGTATTTCTACGATTGGGTTATGCTTTTCATTGATTATGCATTAAATTGCCGTGCTAACTGTCTCAATGCGTGGGTGGGAAGTGGAGCATAATCATTTTGCGTGGGTACGGTTGTCAATACATACAGACTGTCAGTAAATGTTGTTACACTGGTAAACGATAAACAAGTTAGAATTCACCGAGTACACATATTAACATTAACATTGTAGCAGACATAGATTCGACATTTCAAAAAATGCAAAAGAATCACCCTCAAATTGAATATGTAATGTTTATGAAAGACCTTTAATAATTTCCAATAATTGTTAATTCACAGTTTACAAATGAAATGCGCAGAAAATGCATAATGGTATCAGTTAATATGCGGTCGCTGCGGTCTCAGCAGCAAAGAGTCACTAAATAACATTGTCGTTGACAATATGGTAACTTCAGGATAGTCGATGATCCCTGTATGATGCCATAGAGTAATGTTCAAACTCTTTTTAGGTAGCGCTTAGCAACACATGGAACACCAGGTTTGATGAATGTGAAGATCAGTTCGTCGCCGATTACTTCTCTCTTTTCCACTGCTTCGCCTTCGTTGACTCCCCTGATGGCCATCTTGTCACCTTCTACTTTAGCAATAGCTACTCTCGTCTTGCCGAATGGACCGATTTCTTCAGTGAATGGTTCGTCTGGTTTGAACTTCTGTACGATAGTTTTCTTGGGTCCAGTGAAAGACATCAGATAGTAGTCGCCATCTCTGGTGCACTCCACTGTTATCGGTACATCAATCATTTGGTCAACTTTCTCTGGTGGAGCTCCGGCAGCAACAGCAAACTCTCTCATCTTCTCGTTTTTCACGAAGATCCATTTCCCTGCAAAAGCCATGTTGCTGGATGAGATATAGGCGATGTGGATGAAACGACAGTCAATACAAGATGAGAAGTGAAGATATCTGCTGTAGAACATGCCCTTATATATAAAATATTATGCAAATATGGACGGATCAATCTACTTTTGCGGATGGGTATCTGCCAATGCGTCAATTATGCGTTACTTCAGGCTTAATTCATTAAAGTGTTTTTGCTAACTACGTGGTATTGCCGCATCGTCCCGTTGCAGACCCTCTCGCCAGATAATACGTCATTCACAGTTTTTGTCTTTGTCTTGACAATGTATATTGATATAAAAGAAAGATGGAATACGGACAGAATGAATTGGACTTACCGATAAATGAACCGACCCTTACACAGACTACGTCAACTCCAGTCCGCCGTTTCTTTCTCCGTACTAAATATCGATAATTACCCAAAGTTCGTACTATGCGTAACAATGTCTAATCCCATAGCAAACCTAAGCTAGTTAATAGTTTTACTGCCCATATATGGACACAATATTATTTAAATGCCGTCATGGTATATAAGCATTTGTACACCATATTTACAAAATATGGTAAAATATAGCTATTATTAAAACGCTTTCTAGAATACATTGGTAAATTTGGGTCGATTCCCATCAGCAGAGCAATGTTAATTTTTTTTATATAAATTGTTTTAGTGCCAGGCGACAGTTCCGAACATTGAATGTCACTGTTGTCTTTCCTGGCTAGTGCTGACACACTGTGCATTTTTGCCACAGAAGTTATATTTATGTTTGGGACTATATGACAGGGCTGTGCGACCATCTCTCTATCTAATGGTAATTAATGCGCTTCTTGCGTCAACCAGGCTCGGTCGAACACAAGCACCTGTGTATTTGTTAGTGAATAAATCTTGGCAAGTGGAATTGGCATTGAGGCTGCAACACACTCGCCCGGAGCAGGGGACGACCCTTTTGGTGGTCAGCCTAAAGTATGATTTGAATTTGGGGCTACCGATCATAAGTCTGAGCGAAATGACTACTCGGCAGAATCACCAATGGTGGACAGTGAGTGTAAAATAATAATGATATTATTCACTATTTTTGCACTATGCGATGTTTACAATAGTGCGACAATTTCTGTTTATATAAAAACATGTGTTCGAACTCAAATGTTACTCTTAGCGACATCATTACATACAACTAGCACAATAATTTATTACAGAATCAGTTCAAAACAAAACACAATCGTAGAAATGCAGGTAGAATATTGCTGGTAAACATTATCAGTGTAGACCTTGGTTGTCCCCTAGTGAACGACACAGGGGATCGTTACTTTATGCGGGACCTACGTGCTCGCTAATTGGACCCGCATATGATAACGATCCAGCGAAGCCGAATTTGGAATCATTACGTTGAAAATGGGAAATGTGAAAAAGCGAGGCCAAAGAAACTAATTGAAAAATGTACAAGATTAACGGTGGGGGAGGGTAAAAACCAGTATACAACATAACCGTTAGGGTGTTACCGGTAGATTTTGTTTGTCAAATTTCAGTAAAACATTGCGATATATAGGGGAACCACACACTGATCTTGCATTTTTCAAAATAAATTTCATCACTGTAAACAAATGTTGGTAAAAAAATGACGGCAGAAAATATGTCATTTATTAGGTTAACCCTAGTAAGATTTCAATCATGTTTATTTCATATTCAATACAATGTATATCTGATGCGTGTTCGTTAACACAGTGCTCACTCACATGGTCTATAATTAGTAGCAATCTTAATGACACCGTTATGTAAGACATCTCGACTACCTGTTAATATAGTATCACAGTGTAACACGCATTCAAAATACCGAGAACCAAATAACCGATCGGCATTTTAGTTTGCAATAGTTGAACGTTCTCAAAATTGAAAAGTTCATAAGCTTAATATGCCTACCATCATTTTGACGCTGTAAAGATTTACTTAATTACGGATAAACTCATCAACAACACTTCACATCTCGGGACGATGCTTAATGATGTCACGCGTTGTGCATACGCACTCAATGATGTGTATCTGCCCGTAATCGTATAATTAGTGAAACCCGAAATAAGCACTGTGTATTAAGTAACATGGTGCAGAAGACCATAAATACCATAATAAAGTAATGGCACCCATTCACCTATTTAAAAATACAAAATGCTATTTATAAATTCATTCAATTACCTCCACCCAGGATTAAAGAAGTATATTTATAGTAAGAGACTTCCCATATTAGGATCTGAGAATGACTACTGTATTAAGATACCGTTTATATTTTTTTTCTGCATTATTGGCTATTTATTATGAAAATGTAATGAAAATCAAAAGATACATTCAAATCCTGGTAAATTTTGCATTTCGATTTACCTATTTGTGATAGGAAGCGCAGTTCACGGTCGAATCGGCAGATCACAAGTCCACATACATTTATTTGGAGACAATTTCTGAGTATTATAGCACAAACAGAACTAAATACATCGCTCAAGAAGGTGGTCAATTATTTGTGATCTCATTAGTGAGTTTGAATAATTTATGAGGCAAGACATGACAATAGAATGCGTTAACTACATACATATCCCCAATGGACACACCTTTCCTATAAATCGTGCCCTCTAGTGCCCATCTCTTCTGACGTGATGGGCAATACCACGGTTAATAGAAGAATTCGTTAGTAACCGTGGTGATATGAAGGTAGCTAAAAGCGTCGATACCTTTTTGATCTGTCATCAAAAAAGATTACGTTTAAGATTTTACTATATTATCGGTGACTGGCGACTACATAACCAAAACGTCATCGATTTGATCAATATTGCCTTCACCCATTCTGACGTCACAAAACGTTCTACCACTGATAATGCGATTTATAAGAAGGTGTTATTTGTAATTTCAAGAAATTAATCCACGTGCCTCACAAACGTTCGCATATTGCACACATATTCCACAAAAACTGGGCGTTTCAGATTTTGTGGACAAAGTTCCAAAAGCTCTGTTGACACTGAAAAACAACTCCAGTTCATAGTAAATTTTGGAAACTTGTTGTCGGGTTAGCACAACCGGAACAGAATTTCGGAGATCTATTTGATAAACGCCATATTTTTGCAATTACAGTAGCATCAAATCACTGTTAACATTTACAATTATTTCGAAGAACAAATCCAAATTAAACATTTTGAAGTTGGCATTATTATCATAAATTCCATACAATGTACATGTAATGGAATTAACATAACGTTTGCAAGATTTCTGCGACACTGAGAAATATATTCTTACTGAACAATTCCCCGACACTGAGGAAAAAAATCATGCTTTCACAGCGTGATCACGTGATGTATTCATAGGCATTTATATTAATGAGAATTCCCGGATGTAGCAGGACAGCTTTACCAGTACGCTTATTGCGTACCGCGTATTGGAATGCGTTCTTGGGAAATTCTAATTGTATATTAATTAAACGTCTCCAAATTTATTTTATGGAAACGCTTGTGTATTGTTACACGTATATCTCCGCTAAAGGTGGAATAACAAAAAGTTAATTTCACTTCAATCTAGTACTGGGTTTTGTCCACAGTCAGCATTTACCACATGGGGGCCGCCACCCTGAATGCAGCACAAAACCAAATAAGAGACAAGCTGCGAATCGCGCCCCAGACCCTCACAAATCCGGACAAAAACACCAACCCTTCACAAAAACGCGATCCGCCGGGGTCACACTAAGCCAACCGACAACGAACAACTGTTTATAGATGCATGTCTTTATAATATAATTTAGCATATTTAGGCAGATAACCGTTAGTTTTAAAAGACCAATCCGCGTAGTCACCAAATCAATAATAATTCGATGTTCATAGTAATGCAACGATGTTTCCGTTCATATAAAAAAAAACGGATACAAACTAGTGTCCGGAATTAATGTTCGAGCTGATTGGTTATTGACGCCAGCATTACCTGCATTTATCATACTTTTGATTAAGTAATACACCGTAGAATGCAGATACGGACATGGCAAACGCACATTTGAAAAGCTTGGAGTCTGGCGATTCCAAAAGTATATACTTTCCTGGGTCTCTTTGTAGTCATTTGGTCACAATTAGAAGATGAAAACAAGTATGCAAATAATAGTCCCGCTACCTTAATGCAGAATAAGTGGAAACCAAAACCCAATCGCAGAAATGCAGGTAGAATATTGTTCTGGTAAAACTGCCAGGTCCTTGGTTCTCCCTTAATGAACGACACAGGGAATCGTTACTATATACGGGGTCTACATGCTCGTTAATTGGGCCGTGACCCGCATATAGTAACAAGCCCATCCGCCGATAAATTCATATATTCTAAGCACAATGTAACCAAATTTGGGACCATTGCAAAAAATATAGCAAACGTAAAACATTAAAAATATACACGGGCGGCCAAAAAATCTACTAGTAATTGAAACTGGACTTGCACACGATGTCAAGGTTACATTCGACGCAATCTGAAAAATATACCACTTGGCCATTGGCGTGGTGAGTTGGGGTAAGAAACCAGAGTGTATGCATAGCAAAATGTGTAAACTCATAACAAAGTTTAAGTGTAGGGGCTGAGTGTATACCGAACCTCAGACCGAACATGCTCGGCTCCGTTGTTTATCGTCAACAGCACTTATGAGACCCAAATGTGATGGTGGTTAAACCATTGAACTCCTATATCACAATTATATTATTTTTCTCATTAGAAGATGTGGCTATTATATATGTGCTAAATGCCAAACATACAGTCGATCTGTTAAAGCGCTCCTGGGAAACAAACGTTCCAATGCAATATGGCGTATGTGAAGACTACTTCGAATTCCTGTTTAGAAGAATTCAAAACCGGCAGCCAAACCACAATACCATAATCACGAAGAGCTTCGTAAACTTTTAAAAACATTACACATAGATGTTATAACAAATTTCAGATTAATGTGTCTTAGCATGATTTTAGCAGACATCCAATAGTACTCTGAATTTGAATAGCCAGACC